ATTCAAATAATTATATTGAAGTTTTCGGCTCTTGTTTTGAAACATGAGAACTCTTATGTAGCAAAGGAATCATTTTTAAATAAATAATTTATATATATATATATATATATATATATATATATATATATATATATATATATATATAGGTATATATGCATGTGTTATTCCTTATATGTTTATGTATGTATGTTTGATCGTGTTACATAAGTGGACATATTGTATTGTATATATATATGCATATGTGCATATATATATTTTATATGTATGTTTATGTATGTACTTGTTTGTGTATGTATATGTAGAAGATTTTGTATGTGTGCTTATATTTATCTGTGTATGTATATGTATACATGTGTGTATATATGGCATATTTGCAGTTATATTTGATTGGTATATCAATATATATATATATATATATATATATATATATATATATATATATTTTTTATATATGTGTGTGTCTGTGTGTGATATGTGTCCATATTGGGTATAATATATAACATGTACTTGCACTTATGCATATATCTGTTGTGGGAATTACGTTAGACCTATGTGTTTATATGTCCTTAATTATAAATTGACTGAATTATTTGGTTTATGGTTGTAGTATTACTGTATGCTTTCCTTCTTAGTACTTTCTCTTTTTTTAATTTTATTTTATTCTATTTATTTTTTTTATTATTATTTTTACTATTATTATTTTTATGTTGTTTATTTTTATTATTTTTTTCCTATCTATATTATGTAGCAATGTTTATACTTAATTTTATTAACATTTAATAGGATCATCTTATATTTTATTTTTTATTGATTACCTATTTATAAAAAATAATTTTGGAAAAAAATCTTTAATGAAAAATAATATACATATATATATTAATTTTTTTTAAAATTCTTTACATCAATTTTTTTTTCTAAGAATAATATTACTAAGGATAGTATTACTCATTATTATTATTATTGTTGTTGTTGTTGTTATTCCCTAAAAAATGTCAACATGTCATAATGCATGCCTACTTCCAGTGTTCATTCCCAATCAGCCCTTCTCTTTTTCAGATGCTCCCAGTGTCTATTCCCAATTAGACCTTCTCATTTCCCTCTTTATTTTTAGTATTACTTAATCCTAGAAATTGCATTTGTCCAACAAGTATGTGTATAATGAGTAGGCAAACATAAATATGCATGTCACTGAATTAGATTACTAAGCAAGAAATACCTTGGAAGTTGTTATTTGTAATTGTAAACATAACAACATTTCTATTATATTAAAATTAAATACAGGATCTGATATAAGATAGTTATATAGAAGAACATGTGAAGATTGTTTCCTCACTAATTCAAAAAAAGAACTGGGAAAACTAAAAATGTTTTGGGAACTGATTTAAAAATTGACAATAAAATTGAATGTACCATTGCTTTCCATTGTAAAATAATAAAAATGTTCACACTTGTTATTCAAGATTTTAGATGCCAATTGGTTGAAAAAATTTTGCTTTGTGGAACAGTTCAAATAATTTATAATACAGTGAAGTCTATTTCAGATAGTTTTTCATTCTTTAATATAAACTAAAAATGCAGGAAAATACAATGAAATACATCATGGCTAAAGTTCTATATGTTTTCAAGAATAGGGGTGAGCACTCATCCTTGTCTCAGTATAGATACATCAGTCTCCTCAGTGTCATTAGCAAAATTTTTGAAGCTATCATCAACAAGAATGTTGTTGAGTACCTCAATAGGGAGAATCTCTTGAGAAACAAACAGTATGGGTTTTGATCAGCTTAGTCCTTTGCTGATGTCTTAACTGCCATTACTCACAGAATCAGTGAGGTACAAGACAACAAATGCATCTCAAGGGCAATTACATTAAAATATTTAGGGTTACTGCAAAAACTCTAGCAATGGAATCACTGGAAGAGTCTTCTTAATTAGCAAGTCCTTCCTAATAGGCCAGTCCTCTGAGAGTCAAGTGATCAATTCAGACATCCTACAAGGTTTGCTTCTCATTACAACCCTCTTTCTATTTTACATAAATGATCTGCCAAAGAATATATTCTGATCATTTGTGAATATCTATGTTGATGATACAATGGTATATGGCTGCACCTCCAAAACACTAGATCACCAGAATTTGAATTTAGTCTGACCTGGCTCCAACAAAAAACCAGCTGGTCACATTCAGTGCCTTGAAAACCAAACTAATGACATTCTATCATCATCAAGTGGAGCTAGAACTTTCACCAATCACAATAAATAGGTTTCTAGGAGGTTTCATGCCTTAAATGACTATTGGGACTTAAACTTAACTCAAATCTCAAGTAGAACTCATACATATGATCCATTGCTAAAGATGATGGAAAAATGGTTGATTTCATGTACTGATCCATTAATTTCTTGACTCAGGCCAAAAATTAAATACTGTTGCTGTATATGGAGCTATCCAATATTCATTTTCCAGTCTCTGTGTCCTTGTTGGTAACAAATTATTTTCCACCCTGTAATCCCTTTCTTACAGATTGCAAGTCTCTTACTGCTCTATCACTATTTCCATGGAAAGTTTTCAATTGAGCTACATTCCTTAGTTCCACCAGTTCTAACATTCATGGCTAAGACCCGCCATGCCATCAATGTTGTAGTGAACCACCTTCATTATCTTCATATTACATTGGTAAAATGTAAGTTCTACTTGAGCAGCTTCTTCCTATAAATAGCTGCTTTGTGGAACCACTTCCTAAGAAGATGCTACCCTGATCACTACAATCTTAACCTGTTCAAGTTTGGGGTCTGCCACTATTTTCCCTTTATATCTGCATAAAGTATGCCTCTGATCCTGTAACTCTCTACTTCGAGTGACTCTTGAGCCATATACAAGGTGAACATCATTATAAAAAAAAATGTACATATGGAAGCAAAACCATTTTTCCATCTTTTTTTTTTTTGCTGCACAACATTTTTTGCGGCAGTTGAAAATATAAGTCATGAATTAGATAGGCCAAAAATGTTAAGTGTCATTGCAACCATAAATTAAAGAACAATTAAAAAAGACAGATGATGATGATTGAGATTGCAGTTGGCAGGAAAGCTGGACAAGTGCAAGCAAAGAAACTATTAGAATAGAATTTATGGTGTCATCTAGCAATATACCATGAAAGTACTTGTAAAAATGCACAAAGAAGTTACAAAGTGGGAAAGTAATTGAAGATGCTAGGTTAGCAGAAGCACCAGGCCAGATATGGCAACAATATTAAATGCATGCACATTAAGACAGGAGTAAATAGTTGCATCATTAGTATAGATATAGAGTTGAGAACTAATGACATTGGGAAAATCACTGATAAAACTTAGGAAGAGAATCCAAAAATAGAGCTTTTTGGGACACCCACATTTATATGGAAAGATCTAGAAGTGCAGCCATTCAAGACAACCTTCATTTCATGAATTGATAAGGAAGATTGTATCAAATCAGAAATTTGGTCAGAAACATTACAGCCCTTCAATTTGTGAAGAAGACCATCATGTCAAACCCTGTCAAATGTCTTCAAGAAATCTAAAGCATTATTCTTAACTAAAGCTCAACAAACTATTTTCATGATAGCTGTTAATTAGTTCTTAGTTAACTAATTAAGTATGATTTCAAATTATGCTAAAATAAACTAAAAAAAAATAATAATAACTAAAATAAAAGATTCAATCTCTGCTAAAATAAGACGTGCAAGTAGTCTTTATAGCCTTAACTTTGCTAAAAGGAAAATTTTTAAAATTAACTTAAAACATGCTTATTCTGTGTAAAAGGAGAAAGTATTTAATTGTTGAAAGATGACTACTCTCACTGTTCCTGTTAAATCCCCTATTGCCATTTCTGTTTGGTTGCTGATTAAGCATTTTAACTTGTGGGGGTTTCTTTCTCTTTTCTAGGTCAACTGCTGACAGTTATTACTCAAAGTCTGTCAAGCTTTAGATAAGAATAGTAAAAATGGCTGTTGTTTTAGAGTTGTTTGATAGGTTTTGTCATACAGGTTTTCTTCAAAAGTTGAAAGATTATGAAGTTTCTGGATGTTTCTTTTATTTTATTCCATCTTTCTTATCAAACTGGGTAATGACAGTTATCTTAAATGACCACTCCTCTAGATTTTTTTCATCATTGTGGGTGTCTTCCAGGGCTATAGTTTTGGGTCCACTCTGTTCCTTATTTTCATCAAAGAGTGTCCCAAAGTTATTAATTCCTGACTTCATATCTATGCTGATGACATTTACTATTTGCTACTGTCTTAATATAATGTCTGATATATTCAATAAAATCATAATTCGCCTGACAAATTTGTTGTATTTAACCTATTGTTCTGAAAATTGAGTTTTATATTCCTTTTTTGTGTTTTTTAAGATATAAAAACCTAGCATCATCAGAAATAGATAAAAATATTCAAAATTGATGGGTGTACAAATAATTTCATTTTTGACTGTATATGTATTAATATATTCTCACACTCTCCCACTTATATGTATTAATATATTCTCACAGCTACATTTACGTACTGATATAGAGAATAAAATAAGTCCTTTTTAATCTGCAAATAAAGACAGAAAACAATTTTTTTTAAATTAGTGAAATGCATTCCTTTTCAAATCAAGATACAATAGAATGTATAAACACTTGTCTTTCAATTCCATTCAGTGTCATTATGTCTATCCAGTTTTATGAGTTCTTAGAAAAATAATCAATCAACCAAATACTTTTAAGAAAACTGTTCATTTTTTAAACAAGTACAAAACAGGTACATTTTATAATGTTCTATCAACCGCTTATTAGATTACAATTCAATGGATATGATTTTTAAAGCTTTTTGAATTTAAAATGTTTAATATTTTTGTTTGATATTTACTCAAACTAGAGGGAAATTTTGTAAGTTTCTTGTTATCTGTTTGTTTTTAGGGCTTATGTAGGTTATGTTAGAAACCAGATTCACTCTAAAATTTGTTTTATTCCACCTGTACATTTTCAGGCGTGTCAAACTCACAGTAAACAACTATGAAAAAATGGTCACTACTTGGAATGTAATTGGTTACATTCAAGGCAGTGAAGAACCAGGTAATTATTTCTGAAATTTACATTTAAACTCTTCTCACAACTGTTAATACCTGGTTTCAATCTCTGCAGATTTATTGGTGATTCTTTCAGTTAAAATGTACATATTTTACATTTAAATATACTATTAATTTTTAACTTCCCAAAGCACACAATATTGCTTGTCATTCTCATTCTCTTTATTACATAGATAAAGCACAGAAGTTATGGTAATATAAATTGTCATTCTTTTAAAGACATTACAATTTGAAACAAAATAATAGGACTTATTTTGTTTAAAGAAAAGTTAACAGGTCAAAATCAAAATAGATAAAATAGGCTTTAAAAATGATTAAGATAAATTTGTATTAAAACTTTCATATATTTAAGTCTTGTTTTTATTGCTTTTAGACAGGTTTGTTATGATGGGTAACCATCATGACTCTTGGACATATAGTGCCACAGATCCTTTATCGGGGACTGCCTCACTCACAGAAATCACTCGTGTTATGGGAAACATGGTTAAGGAAGGTAAGTAGTGTCTCAAAATCATAGAATTTATTAAGAACAAACATCTTTATAGTATTATTTAATAAGGGATTAGTAAAAAAAAAAATAATTACCATTATGTAGCTTCTCCTATGAGGAGTAATGTAACCTTTATATATTGTAATATATTAATGCATCAGAGAACAATGTCCCATGATGTCAACTTGTTAATTCATTTGGTATTTTTCTGTCATGTGATCCTATATACTATATCAGATTTTTATTGTGAAATTTCTTATTTGATTGATCTGTGATTTATGTTAAAATTTTTTGCAATTTCCAATATTGTGTTTCCATTACTCCATAATTTGAAATATGGTGTTTCTTTTTTAAGGTTATATCTCTCTTATGACCCATGGCAAATTTTATGTATTTGAAAACGAGTAAATATCAACAACTATATTATTATCTGTATATGTATGATGGTTTTGATTTGTGAACACATACAGGGAGAAAGCATGTAAATATATATGTATATGTATGCATGTATTTATCCAAATGTAATAGCTTCCTTCTTGACAATGAGGGTGAAGAAGTTAGTTTTTAAATATATCAGAGGGCTGCTTAAAAAGGTGGAGAAAGAAAGAGTTTTTAAATGTAGCAGGAAATTAACCATCTAAAGTCACCATCTAGTTGTACAAATGTTGTATTTCACCTCTGAGTATGTTACAATCACTGAAGCATTGGAGAATGGACAAAATTTATTTATTGATTCTAGTTTTTGGTTGATTTTTCATCTGGTTATATACACATCTATAGATCTGCTTTGAAAGTGTCACTTTGATTATCATTGACTCATGGACATATCCTGATTGTGAAAGCTTTCCTACTGGTTGGTCAAACTATGGCAGTTGTGGCCTGGCAATTCTGAATATACATCTATTTTCAGAGATGGTGGAATTTGGGTCTCCTTGTTATTATTTGTTTATTTTTATTTTTTTATATACAGGTGGGAAAGCTTTCTCATTGGATGATTGAAATATGGTTTTGTGTTCTAGCATTTCTGATTATACTTCTATTTTTAGAGATGGTAAAATTTCAGTTTCCTTGTTATTATTTATTTATTATTATCCTTACATATGTATTTATTTACAATATAAAGAACCACACTTGAGTTGCATAATCTTGCATCCCCAAAGAAGTTATTGTAAATAATTCTAATAATGTATCATAAGCTAAAATTGATTTTGTATATTTATCATAGAAAATATATGCTGAAAATTTGGCCAACAATATCAATTTTATTGTGCTAACATTGAGTTTTATTATAAAATCTGACATAGTGTATATCACAATCTGAAATATATCAACAGTTTTGTTATCATCATGACTACTGCTATAATCATAATCAATTTTTCTTATTTATTTTTGTTTTTATAGAACAATTTAAGATTACTTTATTTTAAGAATTCATCAAAGATGACCAATGTTTCTATGATTCTTTCACAAAAAATCTATAGTACTAAATGTTAAACCTGGACTAAAATTTTCCTATAGATAAAAGAGGTAATTCTGTTATTTTTCAAATGGGATTTTTGATGAATTTTTTAAAAAAACTTTTCTAATATTCTTACATTTTTCCATTTGATGGGTATAAGGGAGTATAAAAATTGTTGTCCTAAGCACTTTCAGCAAATTCTTTTGCCATTTTCAGGAGGTTTTGTTGTTGAGTGTTGTTAATTTCTTTTCATGGTTGTCTGTTTGAGATGTAGTGTGTGGTACCTATATAGTAGTTGTGTTTATTCTGAGCCCTGCAAAAGGAAATGTGGCAGGAATTCAGGTTTAAGTCTTTCTATTTGCACTATTCTATAATAGTTTAATAATTTCTATAAGGCACTATTCAACTGTTATAGTGGAACACACCTATTCTATAGTTAATAGACTCTCCCACCTATAATAAGTAGGAGTAGTAAGACTAACGAGGAGTCACTCAGTGGGTCGGGCAGTCAGTCGATGCTGGATGACCGTTAGTTGGATACTAAAGAATCAGCAACCACAACTAGATTTCTCTGCGTCATTACCTATTATATCAAGTTCTTAACGTTTTGTACGTCAAACCTATTTTAGGACTGACTTAGTACAAATACAAGCCTCCACTGTGAAACCACTCCATAACATCAACCTCATTGTCACTAATCAAAATAACCCTATTAAATCTAAACTTGTGATGACCAATATAGTGTATCAATTTCACTGCCCAATACAAGATTGTGGCTCTTGTCATAAATCAATTAACTATATCTGTCATACCACTACCTCCTTGAAATGCATTTTATGTCATTTATCTGACCATAAAAGTGCTATAAAAAGGCATTTGGCCACCCACAATGTACAAAACCCATAAGGAAAATTCTGGTTGATAAGATGATCATCCTTCATAAATGTCATAACTGAAAACATGTCGTTGTCAGAGAAGTTCTATATACTTATGCACAACACAGGAATTGAACTCACAACCACCAGCTAATAGAAACTAATGCTTTGTTGTTCTTCTTCTGATTGTCTACACAGGGGGATCGAAGATACCAAGATGATAATTCATCTACTGCTCATTGCTGGATTAGCAAGCAAAGTGTAGGAAGTCATGCTAATTTAGGTACCTCCATGAGATCACTTCAGAAAATATTGACCATATTCATAAAACCAACTAAAAGCAAATAAAAGCATTTGAAATTAAATAGTATCTTTGTTTTATTGAGTTTTGTATGTTACAATTCAGAGCTGGTTTTCAGGTAGGAGGGTCCAATTAAAAACAAAAAAAAAATGATTTGCATTCCTCAAAGCCTTGTGCTTTTAATTATTGTAATTACTAAAGTGAACTCGATTGAATTTCTAGAGTTTTCATAAAATTAGTTATGGAGCGGGTAATGAATATAAAAAAAAAAATATTTATAATAATTTTGATCATCAGTGAATAGTTTCTGAAAGTTTAATTAACATCTGACAATTATTTTTATTTTTGAATGTTTTCCAAATTAATGTGTGTCATACAAAAAAAAAACATGCTAAAAATTGTATGTTATTTTACTAGTTCTAGTGATGCAAAGAGAAACAAGGATTTTTAAATCAAAAATTCAGAATGTTCTAAAAAGAAGGAAAAATTTTATAAAATTAATTAAAATAAACTTTGATCTTTCCTCTTAATTTAGATGATTAAATTTTGTTTTCGTCAAGTTTGGCATCTTTTTCATCATGCTATGCTCTTTTTTAGCAATCTCATGGAGGTACTTATGTTAATTGAATCATTAGCTAAGGGCATTCCTGACTGTGCTTGTATGAAGACCATATCCGGACACATATGGATTAATGAATATTTATCTCTTCTTTCTGAAGATGAAAGGAATGATTTGAATAAATCTGTAACAGCTAGTTCATCACACTACATATTTGTGATAGAAAAAATAAAAAATGAGAAAGGAATTGCTTATTCCTGTGGCAATTTGTGGAAAAAAGTTGAAAACTGCTGTAGATGTAGTTAATAATATTCCACTACTAATTAGCAGACCCACAATGACAAATCTTGAGATGTTATTGGACACAAAAACCACAAGTTGATAGTCAAAGGTAAAACTTTCATCTGGACATGGTTCCAATATCATGGAAATCAAAGAAACCGAACAACTTTATTCCTTTTAGCATCTGAAGTATCTGCTGTCACAGATTCTACTGATTATAACCACTTGATTGCATCAATGATGGTGGAGATTTATGTACTGAAGGATCTTCCAATTATTAACATATATAGATAGTAAGTCTTTGAAAGAATTTGTTGAAACAAAATGAGTAATTAAAAATGCTCACTGTCATGTGGCCATAGCATGTTGAGGGAAAAGATTGCAATATGTGAACTTTATACCTCTAATCGGTTCCAAGTGAAAGATAACTGACAGACCCCATAACTAAAAGATGTGCTGTATCAGAACTACTACACTTCAACAAGCATACCAAACTCTGTTGAATGCCTTTTGAGATATCTAGAGTCACAGCCCAAATTTTGCCATTCTTATCTAAAGCTTGATAGTTCAATTCAGTGATATTGTTTATCCAAAAGAATGCCATGTGTAGAAAGATTCTTCACTAATCCAACATTCATTAGAGCCTCTAGTACTTTGCCAAAAATAGGTAAGAGACTAATAGGTTGATAAGTTAGAAGGTTCCCTAGTGCTTTTATTTTTTTTTTAACTTTTCACCCCAAGCAAGGTGGAAGTGCCACTGGCACACAAGAGGTTACAGAGAGTGGGAGCAAGAGTAAAGAGGTGTGAAAGAGGAAAAGATGAAGAGAAGGACAGGGAATAGATCAAGGCATCTGGAGATGTTGATTGACATTGTATTTGAATAGTTGGAGATTATAACTATCAGGGAAGCAAGTAAAAGGAATGGAGTTACACAGACGGGAAGTCGAGGCATGAAGCTACTGGAGTGAATGGGTGGGACTGAGATGCCAACCTAGTGGCACATTTAAATTCATGCAATTTGGGAACTAGCAAAAATAACTCATTGAAGCAGTTACCATGAAAGTATTTATAGAAAAGACAGAGGGAGGCGATGGCATGTCTATGAGAGAGTGACTGTAAACTAGATGCCAAATCAGGGCCAACCATATTGCATACCTGTTTCTTAAAGACAGGAACTACAGAGTATATTGGAAGCAAGAATCAGCAAAGCATTTATTGCAAAGTTCAGAGAGAACAGGAACCAGTTTAAGAGGGACACAGTTGAATCTGTAAACTTTGTGGAGATCTAGTTTATAAATGATAGCAAAAATTATGGATGGAATTATATGCATATCACACAGTTCTAGGGGGAGAATCAGATAGAGATATATCAGATTAGTTGTGAGTAGAGTTGGAAGAGAATTTTTAATGCAAAGCATTCTCAAGTAATGTATTAATTTGATCCCTCTCAACCTCATCTCAAATACACAAACATGGAGCATCATTCAGTATAAAACCTTGCAAAATACTGTTGATTTATTTGATCATCCACTGTAACCTCTATGAACAGCATGAGTCACATTTTAATTTCTTTAAAATAACATAATATACTGAAAATGCTGCTTTTTTTTAGCTTCAGTATTAGAATTAATATATACAAATTTTGATGATTTATTTACAATGGTGATCTTATAACTAAATGCGCCTAATACCAACCATGATGGGTGTTGTTAAAAGTTTCCAGCCTCACTAAGAAAAGGTTCATAAATGAAAAATCTAATATTTGTTCATTTAATTAGATTTTGGTAAGTTTTTTAAATCCAAAACTTTTCAGTGCCTCTCTTAATGACTGGAATATCATGTACATTTTGATCCACATTATATTATTATAATAATGTGAAACATTTTATGTAAGATAGAATTTTAGACAATGTAAATCTTCTGAAGTTATGAATAAATTCTAAAATGAAAAATATAAAATTTATGTCAAAATCTGTCTTTTTTTCATTTAAAAAATATTATTCATATTATGGAATTTAAAATATAATAATTATTATTTAGAAGACACTGAGATTTTTTCATCTAAAAAAGGATTATTTGCATGACATCTGCAGAGTAAATAGGTCATAAATGTAATTGGCAGAAATGTCCAACAAACAGAATTGACAAAGTTTGCAATAAACAATAACAAAAGAAAGAAAAGAACAATATATTTGCAAGAAAAAAAGTTAAAAAAACTAAGAATGGTGTTAACACAATAAGGATACAGACAAGCTATCACAGTGTTCTAACTTCAAGACAAAAAGAACAGAAATATATTGAGACCAAAAAGTGGCTTATCTTATTGGCTAGGAAGTAATACCAGCATGCATCTGTCATTTTTGTTTATAAATTTGAAGAGAAGGGATGTTTTTGCAGTCATTCCAACAAAGACTGGAACCAACATGATCAAATATACAAAAGAGCACATATGTTTTTGCATCATCTTAAACTTTTCAGGAAAAAATTTCATCAATATGATTCACTGTTTTTGTTCACATGCAAATAAAAAAATATTTTCTTGTCCATTTGATTGCAGGTTGGCAACCAAAACGAACCATTGTATTTTGTTCATGGGGTGGAGAAGAACAAGGTTTAATAGGCTCTACAGAATGGGTTGAGGTAGGTGTCTGTTTCTTTTCCTCTAATACCTATACTGCTACTTTTCAACATGAAATTCGATATTTTGCAATTATTATATACTAGAAAAAACATGATAATGTAATATTTTCAGTTTATCTATTACTAACAAATAGACCTGGCATTTCCCAGGGAAAATGAATACAAAAAATGTTCTTTAATATATTTCTTGTATATGTATATATATTGAATTCACTTCCTGGCCCACTATTTATTCATCTAAATAGAATTCACTTCTCGGAATTTGGTGGTAAACCCTCAATATTTCTTATCTCTGTTTATTATCAATCTTTGATGTAAATATCATGATTGTTATGATTTAAGAATTCATTCAGTCTTTCTTATCAAATCATGAAATGAAAGTCACATGAATGGTCACTCTTCTAGATCTTTTTGCATTAATGCAGGTGTCCTCAGGGCTCTATCATTGAACCTGTGTTTCTAATTTTAATAAACAACCTTCCTGATGTTATCAGTTCTCAATTTGATATCTATGCTACACAACTATTTACTCTTATCTCAATGGAAAGACTGATCAATAGGGTCAAACTGGCAGCTGATCTAAAAAATGACCACCTACTTTTTGTTGTTAAGTGGGGCAAGTAATGACTTCTTAATTTAAAAAATGAATCTGCTCTCTTTTAACTGTTTGAGAGAAGCTTTTTTTGCCTTCTATCAGCAAGGCTGATGATTAGCATCAGCCTTGCTGATAGAAGGCAAAAAAAGCTTCTCTAATCTCCAGGAAAGTGACTTATTGGGCTAACATCAAGTGGAAAGATTATATTTAATCAATTGTTAGGTCTGCTGCTAGGAAAGTTGGCTTACTGTGTTGTGCTAGACAACTTTTCTTGACAGAATTTATCTTGCACATTTATAAGTCTACCATTTGTCCATACATTGAATATTGCTGCCACATCTGATCTGGGGCTTTTGATATGTATTTAGATATTCTTGATAAAATCTAAAGAAGAATCTGCAATATTATTAGTCCTAACATGGCATATCAGCTTCAGTCATTTTTCCCACTGCTGTAACATAGCTTCCCTGTGCATTTTTTGTAAAAGTTCCATGGGAATTATTCTGATGACCTTTCCTCTCAAGTACATAGACTTCATGAATTTAAGCACAGTACTAGATAGGTGACAAGGTCTCATCATTTTACTGTTGAAATGGCTAAATTTAACCATAAGTTCTATGCTAACAGTTTCTTCTCTCACACTTCTTGCTTGTGGAAATCTCTTCCAGCTTCTTGCTTCCCAGTCAACTTTTATCTTAAATATTTAAATGCAATGTCAATCATTATCTTCTGTCTTATTAATTCCAGTATTTTTTAATTGTTCTCCCCCTTTAATATTTTTTCTCATATTTTGTTACACTCAGTAACCCCTTGCATATTAGTGGATTTATTGCCTTCCTTGAAGTGAAATGATTAAAGAAAAAAATGAATGAATAGGAACTTGCTTGTCATGTATAGTGGCTTTTGAAATCACGAGTCTAAATGCTGAATTTTGACACTAGATTCAATCTTTCATTATAATAACCAAGCAAGCCCTGAAATCGTTTCAAACAGGTTACAAGAGATATAACTGCAAGATACACTGATTGACTTATATATTTAAATGTGTTACTCAGTTGCAATATTGTAAGCATTAATGGTAATAGCCATTTTTCCCCTTTATTTTCAGGAGCATATGAAAGTGTTATTTAATCGAGGTGTAGCTTATCTAAATATGGATTATGCAGTTGATTACACATATAAACTTGATGTTTACACCAGTCCATTATTAGAAGATGCTATGTATAAAGCTGCAAAACAGGTAAGAGATCCCAAAATCCAAAAATATTGATTATTTTTTCCAAAGTCTATTTCTGTTGAGAATTACTTTGAATGTAACAAATTAGAAAACCTGACAAAGTCTGATAATGAATAAAATGATTGAAATAGAAATATTAAGTTCAGCCAAATTTTATACTTTGTCACAATTATAGAGAACTCAGTGAAGAACCAATTCATTCTAATAATCATTTTGTGAGTTGGTAAAAGTATAAAGAAAAACTAATTCAAGTGAAATTACAAAAGATGGCGTGCTTGAAGAGTAAATTTTCCTTCAAGTGTAATACTATGATACCTTCTAAGACAGCCAAAGAAAGAGGAGTCATAAAAATTTTCCCATTTATGGTGATTTTCTAAGCATACATTAGATGTGGCACAAGGCTAAAAGAATGGGGTCCCAGTGAAGATTGAACTCACAACAAATCAGTCATAATTGTTCTAGCTTGTTAACCATTACACCTTGTCAAGGTGCCCAAATTTGCCCATTTATGACTGACATTGATAAAACAAGAACTTTCCTGATATTGCTACTACTATTATTAAAGCAAGTCAAGCACAATTTAAACATCTTTGTCCTATTCCCTTCATTTTAGGTCTGGTGTTGGTTTGTTGGTTCTAATAAACTTTAGAGAATAAGCCCCAAATTTCTTTGATGTTACCTTGGCAGGGAGATAAAGGCTAGCTCACTTTGGTGGTATAGAAGGAAACATTTTCTCTTTCTTGTTATCTTTAATGCCTCCAAAGTAAAACTTCTCTCTATTAATTATCTTAAAGAATAATTTTTTGTCTTTTTAGTGGCTTTTATTGCCTTACCTGGAGTGAAATGATAAAAAAGGAGGTTTCATTTTAAAATTCTTTGAAGGCTACCACAAAGATGAGGACATTAGTTTTAATGTAAATAATATGATCAATTCATTGAATACAAATTATTTCTTAGCCTATAATATTATATAATATTATAGACATATAAATTTACATTCTTATGTCAATGTTTTTTTAATTAAAAAATATTTGATTTTTTTGCTGAATCTTTTAAAGGTTATATCATGTGGCTCTTAGCTGTGGCTGCAAAAACTCCAACTGCACTTCTTCAGAGAGGTAAAACTTCCTCAATGAGTCTATCTTTTTGCTGTGAGTGTCAACTCAAAATGCTTCGAGATGGGATCCTGAGCAGTTCATGCCTCTGATGAATAAGAGGTCAGGCAAACTGCAACACTCCACTTTTTGGCCCTTACTTGGACTAGAAGGATGATTATAGAGGCCCAATTCAATCCCCCTACTGGTCATTTTAAGCTATGTCTGACACTTATCACACAATCCTAAATTAGAAAAGATTGAAATCACCACATAAAACCCCCAAACTGATGTAGAAGGTAATAGGTCTATGGTCAATCATAATGAAAATCATGATGAGTTCTGACATGGCTGTTATACTCCCAGGTTGAATTTATACTCAAGTAGATGATCCCTGGGACAGTAGGTGCTTGGGGCCTTTTTCCTACATGTGTATATCAGCTGTGTAGCCCTGGAGTGATGCGACAAATGGGTTTTCCCCTCATCACTATCAGTTGGGCTCCAAGGTAAATGGGAACCCTGGCTGAAGAAGAATACATCAAGATCCAGGTGACCTCATGGATGCTTGAAAACAAAGTGAAGAAAAGATAAAAAAAATTCCAACATTCAAGAATAGTAAAATTGCGTTGGAATCTGCCAAAGATAAATGGATCCCAAAAGTTCCTTCATTTCTAATAGAAAAGATACTATCAAATAAAATATCCCCTAAAATGGTAAAAATATGAAAAAATAACACACTTCTAGTTGAAGTGAGAAACAGAAGTGACACAGGATGAGGCAATTCTGCAACACTAAAATTAAAGCCTACTTTTTTATTTTTTTTTTAATTCCTAAAGTTGTCTAAAGGAGTAATTGAAAGTTCAGAGCTTTCTCTGATCTCAACAGAGGAATTAAAAAAACAACAGCAGCCTCATGAAACTAAGTATAAAAGACATAAAAAATAGAATCTAATAAAAAACACAACCAAACAATAAACACCAAACTGTACATCATAATATTTAACAGCCCTACACCCACAAACAGAAATAAAAATAGGCTATACACTAACCAATGTTGAAACATACATCCTCAACACCTGAAGATACCATAATATGGCCATCTCAGAGCACAATGCACAAGGACACCAGCTAGTGGAAAACATAGGAAGACAGAAGCAAGCTATGAAGAACCACATTGCACAAAATTGCCAACAGACTAAAAAATGGAAAAAAGTAAAGCAAATTATACATCCCCAGAATGGAGGAGACAAGTAAAAACCACCTACTTGACAGCATCATATGCAAATATAGATAAAGCAGCAAGTTACCAGAATGAAAATCAAGAAACCAACTTTACAAGAAGGAAACAGGAAGAAAAGGAGCTCCTAATAAAAGAACTAAAATATCTAACAGAAACACTAAAAATAGTATATCAAACATAACACCCCCCACTAATTCAAACCCTGCAGCGTCAAAACAGAGAGAGTAATCCCCAAAATAAGGAAATACCAACCCAAAGTTCCTGAAATAACTCTGGTCATTTGCTCTACCTCTAAATCAAAAACAAAACTAGAGAACAAAAAAAAAGGTTATCTTGAGAGCAAAAACCAAAACAAAATTCTAAATATGAAAGTGGAAGATGATCCTCAAATTATGGACAGGATTGAAACAGAGGATGTTTCTCCATCTTCTAAAAAGTTTAAATAGAAATAGAAATTATCCTGACTACTCTTCACAAGGTAAACTTCACTATCAAATAAATCAACATTAGCAAGGCACCTAGATTTGATGGCATCCTAATGGCATTAATACATTTGGTTGGGGATTGTTTTGTTTCAGCCATCACTGACTTGATCACTCTGGTCTGAGAAGGATTGGATTGATGGAATCCAGGTTTCAATCTTTAAAGGCAAGGATTCAAACACTGTAATAGCTACTGAGGAATCACTTTTCTTGAATCAATTGGTTAGGGCTTTGCAAGAATCTTGTTGAACAGGCTAATAAACAATATATACCCTCTAGTTACTCTAGAAACACAAAGTTGTTTTAGACCAGGTAGGGGTAGTATGAATATGATTTTCTCAGAAAGACAGCTGTAAGAAAAATGCATTGAACAGTGAGTATCATTGTACCAGGTTTTTGTTGATTTGACCAAGGCTTTTGACACTGTAAATCATGATGCCTTGTGGAGGATTCTTGACAAGATTTTGTCAACTTTGTGAAACCACTACATACTTGTCTCACATTCAAAAGCTCACTTTCAGATGAGATTGCAATGGTCAGAGAGGTGACATTATTGCACCAACACTTTTATAAATCTATGTTGATGTGCTCTTGTACTGCCTAAGGACTGTGAGGCATGAATCTCCTTGAGATTCAGAACATCAGAAAAAGTGTGCAATTTCAGAAGGTACAACACCAAATCTAAAAACTTTGAGTTGCTGATTTGGTATTTGTGTATGTTGATGATGCAGACTGCATAGCATACCTGGAGGAAGATTTGTAACTCATAATGGATCACTTCTCTACCACTTGTGATGCATTTGGACTGAGGATTAGCCTTCAAAAGACAAAAGTAATGTTCACTCCTCCAAAGAGCCAACAATACTTGTGAACAATACAACATTGGAGGTTGTTGACACTTTCCCCATATGTTGGAAGTACTATATCAAAAGATGGTGCCGTAAATTGTAGAGTTTGGTCAGATAGAGACATTACCGTCAAGACTAAAGTAAGTGTGTATATGGCCTGTGTCTTAACATTCCGACTGTACTTCTCTGAAACATGCACAACAGATATATAAAAATAGCTTAATTCCACCAAAAATGCCTGAGACTTAACATCAAATGGCAGTCTTTGATTCCAGACACTGTTGTCATCCAAAGATCTGAATGTAACAGTATGGAAACAATAATAATCTTCAACCAGATACAATGAGTAGGACATGTGAGAATTGGGGATAACAGGATTCCCAAACAACTTTTCTACTGGGAATTAAAGACAGGAATGAATCCACAACACAAGTCTAGAAAGAGATAACTTGAAAGATAATTTGAATGCATTGCACCTAAATTTTCAGCATTGGGAAGAAGTGAATTTATATCATACAAAGTGAAAGCACTTTATAAGGGAGGAATGCAAAGCCTTTGAGTATGAATGTCTCAGTCTCAAGTGTGATCTACGAAGAGGCACTCACTCTGATTTGCTAGTTAATGGAAATGAGGTTAATAAAGGTATAATTATTAATAAAAAGATGGACAATATGTAGGAAAAAAAAATTCTTAAATAGAAATTGATTGGAGGCTCAGTACAAAATCATGTTATAAAATAAGAAATTAACAAATATAACATAAATATATAAATTAACATAAATAACAAAATGCCATCCAGGGGAAAATACAAATATACATACACATTGAGACCTATTTTGTCCATGATAGCGTCTTCTCAATATGCCATGTCTAAATGGTTTACCACCATATTCCAGCCAATTTTGGAATGGTATAATTCTTCCTGTATTAGAAATTCGTTTGAATTTTCGTATTTTATACCACATTATCAACTGACAAATTTATATGTTCCTATGATATTTCCATCCTCTTTACCTGTGTCCCTCTCACAGAGACTATTGATATATGTGCTGACACCTTATATCATAATCAGTTGTCCCCTCCTGTTATTCCTGAGAACGTTTTTTTATTTTACTCCAGTTTCTGTTTTTTTTTAAATTCTGAAAATGTCCTAAGGAAATAATGTTGAGTTCTTATTTTTTTAACTGTCAGAACTGATTTGTTTAATCTAAATGATAGCTTTTGTTTAAAAACTGTGTTTTTTGTTTCTAAATAAGTATTTTTAGTAATATTACCACTCCTTAAATTATGCTTATGTTTTACTAAATTTCACTCAATACTTGAAAGCCACTAAATGTGGA